CTCCACAAAGCAGACAAATTTTATACAAAAAACTACTCTACAAAGCAGACACTTTTTATAGAAATCGACTACACAAACACTTTTTCTATCGAAAAATATCCCTCTAAAGCAAACACATTCTTCAAGAAAATTACTCTACAAAGCTGACAATTTTTCTTTAGAAAGAAAAGCAGGCACTTTTCTATTAAATAATTCTATATAAAGCAAACTCTTTTCCTATAGAAAATTACTCTACAAAGCAGCTTCCGTTTCTATAGAAATTCTCTATTAAGCAAAATTTTTCTTTATTTTCTAGAAATCCCGTTGCTCAAAGTACAGATGCAGCAAGAGGTAAAATAGGTTTTCGCGAGGGACGTCATACCTGGGAGGTGATATGGGAAGGACCATTGGGTACAGTGGCTGTTGTTGGTATATCAACGAAAGAAGCACTTTTACAGTGTCATGGTTATGTGGCCTTATTGGGATCAGACGCTCAAAGTTGGGGTTGGAATTTAGTAGAAAATCATTTATTACACAATGGTGATGTACAAGGCAGCTATCCATTGTTAAATAATGCTCCCAAATATCAGGTATAATGAAATTTCTTTTAACAAAATTATTTTAAATAGAAATAATTTTTCTTTTCCGCTTAAATAGGTGGGCGAAAGAATACGTGTTATACTAGACTGCGATGATAATACATTATCATTTGAGAAAAATTATGAATTTTTAGGTGTTGCATTTAGAGGTGAGTGTTTTTTAAGATATAAATATATTTTTTTCTTTTTATTTCATTTTACTGCCTGTACAGGTTTACCGGATAAAAAACTTTATCCCACGGTATCAGCTGTTTATGGTAATACGGAGGTTTCTATGGTGTATTTAGGGCCGCCTTTAGATGGTTAAATTTTTGTTTTAGTTCTTAAGTTTTTAACGTATTTTTTAAAAAAATATATTTCTTAATTAAATGGCTCTTTAACTATAAAACAAACACACACACATATGAAAATGAAAACAATATTTATCACATACCACAACAACACACAACTCACCAACAAAAATTTTTCGGCAAAAAGTACATATAAATAAGGAAATTTAAATGAATCTAAAAAAAAAAGAAACAATTCCAATATAAATCTTAAAGTACTACTAAAAATTAAAATAATTATTAAGAAAAAGTAGTTGAAAAACATTAGTAATTTAAGTATAAAAAGCCTTGGACTTAACACATTTTAATTTCTTTTGTATTGATACAAACTAAACCTAAAGTAAAGAATTGCAATAATTATGTATACCCTTTTATAGTTAATTATTTTTTACAAACATTTTTAGTTAATTTTTTTTTAAATAACATTTTGCTTCCCCTAAATTATATATATATAGTCACCGTATTTGTTTTATATTATTGTAAAGGTGCTAGTCTTGCTTAAGTTTATTTTGTTTTCATTTTTAATTAAAATAATTTTATAACTGTGTATAAAAAAAAGAAGAAAAACAAAAACTATCCATAATTTAGCCTACAAAGTAAAAAAAAACCAACATTCGTGTGTAATATAAGTAATAAAACAAAATGAAACAAAGAAAAATATATGAAAAAAACAACAACAAGAAATAGTTTTGTTTCATAATTTATTTAGGAATTGTTATCAGAGGTGAGATTTAAAATATCATCATCGCCATCATCAAAGAGATCATCGAAATCATTATAGAAATCAGCATGAACATGCTTTTCATTACTGGCCAAATCCATTAAGATAGCTGAAGAACCACCGGACTGAAATAAAAGTAATTAGAAGTTTAGGAATGGGTAAACAATCAAATTTGGAAGATCGAACTTTATCTGAACATACAGGCCTCAGAAGTAGACACAGAGCTTTTCTACAAAAAAGTCTACAAGTAATGCTGTTTTTCTATAGAATAAGTCTACAAAGCAGACACTTTCTATAGCAAAAGTCTCTACAAAGCAAACTCTTTCTATAAAAAAAGTCTCTACAAAGCAAACACATTTTCTATAGAAAAAGTTTCTACAAAGCAAATACTTTTTCTATAGAAAAAGTATACAAAGCAAACACTTTCTATAGAAAACGACTCTACAGAGCAGACACTTATCAACTTGTCACTAACCTCCTCCATATCCATGTAACCAGCTCCCTCGGGAAACATTTCATCAGCCGCTAGAGTTGGTTTCATATTTTCTACACTGCTGCAATCCGTTTTGAAGTGAATTAAATGTAATTTTTAAAAAATAATTCAATATTTGATAATTTTTCGCTAAAATTGCTTATTGTTTGTGCAAAATAATTTTCGAAATGTCAAAACATACAAAGACAGGGTTATCAAAAGCAGATGGTTGTTTAAGAAATTGAATACAATGGTGGCCGCAGGCGACAAGCTACTATCACAAGGGGAAAATTAAGCATTTAACTAATACAAAAGATAATTTAATTCCAGAATATAAAAAAAGAATTGCTAGAAAATAAAAATTTATCAACTTTCGATTAGAAATTTGTATAGAAAATGTTTCTGTAGAAGAGCTTTCTAAAGAAATCTATTTAAAAGTTTTGTAGAGAAAATTTAGCACTGTTTTCTATAGAAAAATTGTTCCATTGTTTTTATTAATTAATTGAAAAGAATTCAAAATGTTATATAGAAAAGTTATCTATAGAATATTTTACTATAGAAAAGTGTTCAGTAGAAAGTTTTCTATAGAAAAATGTTCAATAGGAAAGTTTTATATAGAAAAGTGTTCGACAGAAAAGTTTTTTATATAAAAATTATCAACGGAATTGCTTTTTATTTAAAAAAGTGTTCGATAGATAAGTTTTTTATATAAAAATTATCAACGGAATAGCTTTTTATAAAATAATTCTCAGTAGAAAGTCCACTAGAAAAGTTTTCATTGGAAAAACTCTTTATAGAAATGTTTACTTTTCTTCAGTAAACAAAATAGTTTTCTATAGATAAGTGTTCAAAAGAAAATTGTTCAATAGTAAATAGAAGTAGAAAACTTTTTTCAATAGAAAAATTTTCCAATAGATATGCCTAAATTAGGTATTTCAAGCGATTTTTAAAAAAAGTACTTATTTCAGTAAGAAAAAGTACCCATTTTACCCGCTGTCATTTCTTTATCACATAGAACAACCCTGTTTATGGGTCCGTGTTTGCTAAATACATTGCTGTTTGACAAACCATAGTTTCCTAGGTCGTCAAACAAATGTATTTTAAAGGGACATCAAACAGAATCAGTTTGAAGGAATAATTCTGCAATTTTTTGCGCGCAGTTGCATGTTTTCGCGCCAATTTTTGCAAATTCTTCTTTTATCATCTTGTGCATTTTACATACATTTTGAGTTTGTAACAAACACAGAACGTGTTAAATTTGGAAATTTTTTGAATTCTTTTAAAAAAATTTGGAAATATATATAATTTGGAAATAACAAAAATTGTTTATTGAAGAGTATAAAAGTATTTTTAGTATTTTACTAAAAGTATTGATAGATTTGGCCTGTTTGTGAGATCTAGAAGAAGATTAAAAAATGTAAGTACATTACATGTTAAATAATTAATTATTTGTCTCTTATATTAGAGAAAGAGGAATATTAGAAAAGAGCAAATGCAGTATAGCATTAAATATGTTAATGATAATAAACCGGCTAAGGGAAAATATGTTGAACATAATGATGGAGAAGCTAATGACGATAAAGGTTATCGCACATTCCTGGTGGCCGATTATGTGGATTACAATAGAGAAACCAATGTATCGAAATGTTTGATAAAGAATTGCGAAAGACCCATGAGTGGCCGGCGAACAGGTAATATTAAGAGACATTATCACAAGGTACACAATTTGGTTATTGTACACGATAACCAAGAGACATTACGTGCTATGGGAAGGGAATTAACGGAATATTATAATAATGACACCTATGCCGATACTAGAATGGAAGAGGAAATACCCGAGGAACAAATGGCCTATTTAGGAGATCAACAAACAACCATAAACTTTGAACAGTATATAGATTATGATCCCTTAATCAATAAGTCCTTGTGTAAGGTACCCGGCTGCAAGGCTTATCTAGTAGGCTTGAAACCTTTTAGCATTAAGCGTCACTATGATCTGGTGCATAATTATGACATTGAATCGAATGGTGCCAAGCCATTTGATAAATCCAAATACAGCAAAATCTCCAATGGAAAAGAAAATCCCCCCGAAGATGATAAACCCTATCAATATTTAAAACAAATACATTCCCCTAATATTCCAGCAGTAGGCCTAAACAAGGCTTCATTTTATCAGCTATGTTTGGGCTTGGTAATAGAATGTGACATTTCCCTACAACTATTTGATGATGATAAATATTTTAAACCATTATTGGCTCCCTATGAACAGGCATTAGATTGTCAAATGAACGCCAACTTAATGGAAGATCTGTTGCATAAGGCACCGCCAGTGGCGGTGTTCATTAAACATAAACAAAGGCTTTTTGAGTTGTTTGTTTATATTAAAACAGGATATAATTATAATCAAATAAATTATTATACATGAAATATCTAACAATTTAAATTAAGAAAACATTATTAATAATTCGTTTTATATGTATATAAATTTTAAATAGTTTTAATAATACGAATACATCTGGCAATATTTTGCACTAAAAACGCAACACTGATAAGAAAACCAAACGTCAAATGGGAAATGTCACAGAAAAGCAATGAAAACAAAAAAACAATATGGTCTTTTCAACGATTTTTATCAAATAAGAGGGTAAATTAAAAAGCGTTAGAAAAGAATAAATGAAATATTTTATTTAAAAGCAATTAATATAAGAATAATATTATTATTATTGTATTGACATTTTGTGAAAGTTTTGTGTAATGTGAAAATATTTAATAAAAATTATTTTATTTAAAGTTTTATTAGCAAAAGTTTTTGCCCCCTTTATTTAGGCGTTTATTCACGCGCATTGACAGCACCTAAAGATGCCTGTTTGGCGCGCGGTAAATCAGCTGAGCCACATTCGGGTCATTTGCTCGCTCATTTTAGTCCAACACGACGCATTTGGTAAATTCTAAGAAAATTTTGATACCCCTTTACAAGGTCTTAAACCCTACCGATTTTCCTAAAAAATACACCATCTGAAAATTTCAATTTTTACGAATTTTTTGCTATAAAATTCATAAAAATCGGTTAACATTAAGGGGTAGTAAAACGCCTTTGAAAATTCGTATTTTTTCGGTGTGTGTGGTGTAGAAAAGTAGAAAAAAGTTGTAAACGCTGGAATTGAAAATTCCTTTTCTCGCCATTTTGCTTATAGAAAAAAAGTGAATTTTTACTTTTGAATGAAGAATCTTTAAAAAAAATGTTAAGTGAAAATTGTCTAGCTGAAGGGAAACATAATTAAATATGTTATAATGTGTTTAGAAAATGAAAATCCTGAAATAAAAAGCCTTTAAAATAAATGATGAGCAAAAAATTTTATTTTCAACATTAACACACAAAAAAATGTAAGACAATTTTTTCTTCGCCGTAGTTTAGTGCTTGACAAATATGTAGAAAAAATGTGAATAAAAAAAAGAAGTGCTGGTGTTAAAACGATAAGAAAATAATGGTTGTGGTTGGTTAATATTGAATTGAAAAAAATATATAAAACGTGTAAAGAAATTTTGTGAATTTTTTCCTATATAAATTAATTATTAAGCCACCAAAGTCCTTTTGCTTTCACAAAGAGGAAAATTAAACGTCAGCAGTATAATTATTAAAAGAGGTGTTTAAATATTATTAAAGAAAAAAACTATAAATGCAAATTGTTGTTGTTTTATCCCTCCATTTAACAACTAAACTTCTTTCTCTGGTTCTCCCACTCTCTATATAACTTTCTGTTCAACTGTCTTCATAAATTAATTTAAAAAATTTATTAATATTTTTATAGCCACTTTTTATCAACCGGGTTTTAAAAGAAGTTTTTTGTTGTACAAATTAATTTTCTTAATATCAAAAACAAAACTTGCAAAAAAATGGCGCATTCATCGACTGCTAATGCAGCTTCTTCGGCCACTACGACAGGTGAAATAAATTATTTCTTTCAGGATGAAAATGGTAAGTTTGTCTTGGTTTTAAAATATGTTTTTTTTTGTAAAAATTTCATAATTATTTGTAAACTAACTAACTATGCATGTGGTCGTTAGTTTTTGCAATTTGCATTTTATTAGATTTTTATATTTTTGCACCATCCCATCCCCCTTTTTTGTATGCTTTTTCGTTTTCTTTTTTCTCTCTCTCGATCAGTTTATTGTTGTTGTAATATCTTTGAGCCGCCATATTTTTACAGTTCGTCTTAAGGCGTGCAGTGTTTTGAATGAGTTAAATTGATATTTGGGAAAAATGGAAACAATTTGGACTTCTTAATAAAAAAAAAAAAACATTAATTTGTTGCTACATAATATATATAACTTTCCTATGCAAGATCAAAAACATTAAGCATTCTTAATTTTTAAAGTTATAAAAGTAAAAATTGTGGAGTATGTCTATTATAGTATAAGTGTTCTTTAAGAACAAGAACTGAAATAAAACTGAACTAGAACTGAACTAGAACTGAACTAGAACTGAACTAGAACTGAACTAGAACTGAACTAGAACTGAACTAGAACTGAACTAGAACTGAACTAGAACTGAACTAGAACTGAACTAGAACTGAACTAGAACTAAACTAGAACTGAACTAGATCTTAACTAGAACTGAACTAAAACTGAATTAGAACTCAGCTTGAACTGATGCAGAACTGAACTGATTTAGCTTTCTTTAAAAAAAATATATAAAAGATTTCTGTTTAAAAAAGTTGCAGAAGAAAAGTTTTCAATTGAATTTTTTCTAATTTTTTATTTTAATAAGTTTTCTTTATAAGAGTTTTCTATAGAGAAGATAGAGATATTTTCACCACAACAAATAAAAAAATGTATATTAAACCTAGCTATGCCCTTCATTAGAGACTAAAACCTAAAAAATCAATTCAACTTTTTAATACAAATCTTTAGATTTATATACTTTCCTATATTATCAATTTTTTGTTGCTTGCTTTACATTTCTTTTACATTTTTGTCATAAACTTTTTTTATATTTATTTATATTTTTCTTCTATATATTACATCTATTTTAAATGAAAAACAAAAGTTGTGTGTTACTTGTGTAAAAAGCAATCATGAGCGTCGTTTACTTTAAACGCAAACACATATTTTTAGAAATTGTTTTTTTTTTTTTTATAATAAAAATGGAACGAAGTGTAGAACGAAAGACACAAAAATGATTGCCCACATTTTTGTTTTTTAGCACAGAAGAAGAGTTGTAAATGATGTACAATATTTTTTGATTTTGTTTTGTTTGCTGTTTTTTTTTTCATTCTTTTGGTTCACAATTGATAACACGACCGTAATACATAAACGCCTAACCACCAGAGTGTCTTTAGAGAGTTTCGCATCAGAAATTTAGGAAATTGATTTGAAATAAAGTAGGTTTGATTGGGTGTTATTCGTAAGAGAAGGGTGTTTTTAAAGTAAAGCAGATACCTATGTATAAGCTAATAGATATTAGTTTTGTATTGGGGTACTAGAACTGAACTAGAACAGAACTAGAACTGAACTAGAACTGAACTAGAACTGAACTAGAACTGAACTAGAACTGAACTAGAACTGAACTAGAACTGAACTAGAACTGAACTAGAACTAAACTAGAACTGAACTAGAACTGAACTAGAACTGAACTAGAACTGAACTAGAACTGAACTAGAACTGAACTTGAACTAGAACTGAACTAGAACTGAACTAGAACTGAACTAGAACTGACCTAGAACTAGAACTGAACTGGAACTGAACTAGAACTGAACTAGAACTGAGCTAGAACTGAACTAGAACTGAACTAGAACTGAACTGGAACTGAACTAGAACTATACTAGAACTGAACGAGAACTGAACAAGAACTGAACTAGAACTGAACTAGAACTGAACTAGAACTAAACTAGAACTGAACTAGAACTGAACTAGAACTGAACTAGAACTGAACTAGAACTGAACTAGAACTGAACTAGAACTGAACTAGAACTGAACTAGAACTGAACTAGAACTGAACTAGAACTGAACTAGAACTGAACTAGAACTGAACTAGAACTGAACTAGAACTGAACTAGAACTGAACTAGAACTGAACTAGAACTGAACTAGAACTGAACTAGAACTGAACTAGAACTGAACTAGAACTGAACTAGAACTGAACTAGAACTGAACTAGAACTGAACTAGAACTGAAGTAGAACTGAACTAGAACTATACTAGAACTGAACTAGAACTGAACTAGAACTGAACTAAAACTGAATTAGAAATGAATTAGCACTGAACTAGAACTGAACTAGAACAGAATCAAAACTGAACAAGAATTGAACTAGAACTGAAATAGAACTAGAACTGAACACGAATTGAACTAGAACTGAACTAGAATTGAACTGAACTGTAATAATGTTTATATTCTGGGCATTAATAAATTTTAAGATATACAGGATTTCCTGATTTCCAGTTAATGCTGGTATACAAGAGATTCCCTCGTATTTATACAAAAATTCATTCATTTAGAATTTAGCATTTATAACTCCACTCATGTATTGCATGAGTTTCCAGACATCTACAACATAATTGTGCATTACTTGACATTTAAGCCCCTGTTATATGTGGTCATTTTAAAATACAACCCTAATATTAAATGAATACAAAAATTAACTTCAAATTCATTAAAACCAAAGCTGACGATAATAATGATGGTTGAATTGTTGTTAGTTTTTTAATATTGTTTCAAGTTTACAAAAAAAGTAGTGTGGTTGAAGCAAATAAATAAGGTACTTGTTGTTTTTGTACTAGAAATAAAGTATTTGCCCACCAAAAAACCAAAAATACATACATATATTTCTTTCGTGAGCTTGTTTTCGGTGTTTTTTCTTCATAACTTTAATACATTTTTGCATTTTATAAGTGGGTTTCACGTCATTCTTAAAATGTGTTTTAGTTTATGTATAATAACAAAAAATATTAGATTTTAACATAAGTATTTGTGTATTAAAAATATTAGTACATATTAGTAGTTGTAGTCTTATTATTGTATTTCATACTAAAAATGTAGTAAATAGTTTGTTTGTTGTTGCTTTCTTTACTTTTTTTACTGTCATGAATTTTACAACTCTGTCTTGGGATTGTGTTGTTTGTTGTTGATGTTTGGTGTTGTAATAATAGACGAGTGTGTGCGATGAGAGCGTGTAAATTGTTTCCTTGATGTGTGTGTAAAAAATTCATTCATACATTTTTATTTTTAATCAGTTTTATTTTGTTGTAAGTTGTATTTGTTTGTGTTAAATACCACATAATTTGTTCATTTAAATATTCATTATTTTTATAAAATTATACTGTTTTGGAATTAAGATTTAATTTATTTAAACATATTTTTTTGAATTTTTGTTTACTAATTTATGTTGTGTGTTTTCGTTTCATCTTTTTTATAGGAAAAATACACAAAGTTCTTAAACAAGTTGAAATAAAACAAGAACCACTTGGTGGTCCATCTACAGTTTATGCACCTACAGTTGGCGGCAATATGGGCACATTTACACAAATGGTAAATATGAACACAATTATTATCGATATATATTAGACTAGACTATAGACAAGACTATAGACTAGACTATAGACTAAACTATAGACTAAACTATAGACTAGACTATAGACTATACTATAGACTAGACTATAGACTAAACTATAGACTAAACTATAGACTAGACTATAGACTATACTATAGACTATACTATAGACTAGACTATAGACTAGACTATAGACTAAACTATAGACTAGACTATAGACTAGACTATAGACTAGACTATAGACTAGACTATAGACTAGACTATAGACTAGACTATAGAGTAGATTACAGACTAGACTATAGACTAGACTATAGAGTAGATTATAGACTAAACTATAGACTAAACTATAGACTAAACTATAGACTAGACTATAGACTAGACTATAGACTATACTATAGACTAGACTATAGACTAAACTATAGACTAAACTATAGACTAAACTATAGACTAGACTATAGACTATACTATAGACTATACTATAGACTAGACTATAGACTAGACTATAGACTAGACTATAGACTAGACTATAGACTAGACTATAGACTAGACTATAGACTAGACTATAGACTAGACTATAGACTAGACTATAGACTAGACTATAGACTAGACTATAGACTAGACTATAGACTAGACTATAGACTAGACTATAGACTAGACTATAGACTAGACTATAGACTAGACTATAGACTAGACTATAGACTAGACTATAGACTAGACTATAGACTAGACTATAGACTAGACTATAGACTAGACTATAGACTAGACTATAGACTAGACTATAGACTAGACTATAGACTAGACTATAGACTAGACTATAGACTAGACTATAGACTAGACTATAGACTAGACTATAGACTAGACTATAGACTAGACTATAGACTAGACTATAGACTAGATTATAGACTAGACTATAGAGTAGTTACAGACTAGACTATAGACTAGACTATAGAGTAGATTATAGACTAGACTATAGACTAGACTAGACTAGACTAGAGTAGATTGTAGACTAGACTATAGACTAGACTATAGACTAGACTATAGACTAGACTATAGACTAGACTATAGACTAGACTATAGACTAGACTATAGACTAGACTATAGACTAGACTATAGACTAGACTATAGACTAGACTAAAGACTAGACTATAGACTAGACTATAGACTAGACTATAGACTAGACTATAGACTAGACTATAGACTAGACTATAGACTAGACTATAGACTAGACTATAGACTAGACTATAGACTAGACTATAGACTAGTCTATAGACTAGACTATAGACTAGACTATAGACTAGACTATAGACTAGACTATAGATTAGACTATAGACTAGACTATAGACTAGACTATAGACTAGACTATAGACTAGACTATAGACTAGACTATAGACTAGACTATAGACTAGACTATAGACTAGACTATAGACTAGACTATAGACTAGACTATAGACTAGACTATAGACTAGATTATAGACTAGACTATAGACTAGACTATAGACTAGACTATAGACTAGATTATAGACTAGACTATAGAGTAGATTACAGACTAGACTATAGACTAGACTATAGAGTAGATTATAGACTAGACTATAGACTAGACTAGACTAGACTAGAGTAGATTGTAGACTAGACTATAGACTAGACTATAGACTAGACTATAGACTAGACTATAGACTAGACTATAGACTAGACTATAGACTAGACTATAGACTAGACTATAGACTAGACTATAGACTAGACTATAGACTAGACTATAGACTAGACTATAGACTAGACTATAGACTAGACTATAGACTAGACTAAAGACTAGACTATAGACTAGACTATAGACTAGACTATAGACTAGACTATAGACTAGACTAATAGACTAGACTATAGACTAGACTATAGACTAGACTATAGACTAGACTATAGACTAGACTATAGACTAGACTATAGACTAGACTATAGACTAGACTATAGACTAGACTATAGACTAGACTATAGACTAGACTATAGACTAGACTATAGACTAGACTATAGACTAGACTATAGACTAGACTATAGACTAGACTATAGACTAGACTATAGACTAGACTATAGACTAGACTATAGACTAGACATAGACTAGACTATAGACTAGACTATAGACTGACTATAGACTAGACTATAGACTAGACTATAGACTAGACTATAGACTAGACTATAGACTAGACTATAGACTAGACTATAGACTAGACTATAGACTAGACTATAGACTAGACTATAGACTAGACTAGACTAGACTATAGACTAGACTATAGACTAGACTATAGACTAGACTATAGACTAGACTATAGACTAGACTATAGACTAGACTATAGATAGACTAGACTATAGACTAGACTATAGACTAGACTATAGACTAGATTATAGACTAGACTATAGACTAGACTATAGACTAGACTATAGACTAGACTATAGACTAGTCTATAGACTAGACTATAGACTAGACTATAGACTAGACTATAGACTAGACTATAGACTAGACTATAGACTAGACTATAGACTAGACTATAGACTAGACTATAGACTAGACTATAGACTAGACTATAAACTAGACTATAAACTAGACTATAGACTAGACTATAGACTAGACTATAGACTAGACTATAAACTAGACTATAGACTAGACTATAGACTAGACTATAGACTAGACTATAGACTAGACTATAGATTAGACTAGAATATTATCGATCTTAATTTTTAATTTTCCCTTTTAATCAAAAAAATGTTTCCTTTTTCCTTTTCTTTTTGTGCCTTTTAGAACACAAATCAACCTCAATTCGTACGAATACAAAATAGTTATAATATCCAATCAACAGAAAGTGAGTTTAAAGTTTTTAAATCAAATATAAAGAAAACTTTTTTACACAAAACTAATAATCTGGTACTGTGTTACCTTAAAAAAACTCCCTCTAGGTCCCACATATACTGTTATTACACCACAAAGTAGTAGTGGCAGCAGCAATAGCAATATGCAACAAAGGCAACAACAACAGCAGCAACAACATAACAACAACACAAATATCACCACAATAAAATATGAACCAGTTGAAGAATTTACAACACACACGGTAAGTTTGATGAAGCTCTGGGTGTTTGAAACAAAAGAACATTTCTAGCAAATCTTAAAAAAAAGTAATAATTTGTTTGTGGAAATGGAGTTTTGGCGAGTTGTATAAAAGTAGTTTAAAACTAATTATTTTTGTTGTTTCCCTTTATACAAAACATTATAATCAACTATCTTAATGTTTAAAGACTGTTGTAAAGGAAGAGGAACGTTACAAATACAAACCACAAATTCTAACGAACACAGCGAAAACCACAGCTTCAAAATCAAAAATGTAATTATATTAATATTAAATTAACATTAACATTTTATTTGTAAATTAAACTAATTGTTTTTAACTTAGACAACACAATACCAGCCATCAAAATGTCTCCGCCTCAGCCGCCTCCGCAGCAGCAGTACAAAGAAAACGTAAACCGGAGAAGGCGGGTAAAGGTTTACGTCATTTTTCATTGAAAGTGTGTGAAAAGGTTAAAGTCAAAGGCACCACCACCTACAATGAAGTGGCCGATGAATTGGTGGCCGAAGAAATACAAAATAATTCCTTTGACAAGAACTGTGATCAAAAGAATATACGAAGACGTGTTTACGATGCTTTAAATGTTTTAATGGCCTTGCAAATAATATCCAAAGATAAAAAAGAAATACGCTGGATTGGTTTACCCTCAAATGCAGTGGAGGTAGTAAAAAGTTTTATTTATAATTTAAAGAATATTAGCTAAAAGAATTTTTATTGTTTTAGGAATTTTCACAACTGGAAAAGGATAACCAAGAGCGTCGACTGCGCATCAAACAAAAAAATCAACAATTAAGAGAATTGCTGCTGCAGCAGGTCTCCTTTAAAAGTCTTATAGAACGTAATAAGGAGGCCGAAAGACAGGGCATTATACCCACACCAAATTCATCCATACAATTACCTTTTATAATTGTTAATACACACAAGTCAACAAAAATTAATTGTAGTGTTACCAATGATAAGTAAGTCTATTGGAATCTAATCTCTAGTTGCAAGTTTAAGTAAAATATTTATTGTTTTTTTCTAGGTCCGAGTATATTTTTAAATTTGACGATAAATTTGAAATGCATGATGATGCCGAAGTGCTTAAACGTATGGGTTTATTATTTGGTAGGTTTTTTATTTGATTTTGGAAAGGATCCTCTTATTAAATGCCTATGTATTGTTGCTTTTAAGGTTTGGACAAGGGTCAGTGTTCGTATGAGGATGTTGAACGTGCCAAATCGTTGGTGCCACCAAATTTCGAAAAGTATATAGAAGGTAAGTTTGAAATATTTTCAAAAATAGCTTTTTAGACTAGAATATAGACTAGACTATGGGCTAGACTATAGACTGGACTATATACTTTTTTTAGACTATACCATAGACTAGATTATAGACTAGACAAGTCTAGACTGAACTATAGACTAGTCTATTAACTAGACTAGACTTTTGACTAGACTATGTACTATACTATAGACTAAACTATAGACTAGACTATAGACTAGGCTATAGGCTAGACTAGACTATAGACTAGGCTATAGACTAGACTATAGACTAGGCTATAGAGTGGATTATAGACTAGGCTATAGAGTGGATTATAGACTAGGCTATAGACTAGACTATAGACTAGGCTATAGAATAAACTATAGACTAAACTATAGACTAGAATATAGACTAGACTATAGACTAGACTATAAACTAGACTAGACTAAGATTAGACTATAAACTAGACTACACTATAGGACTAGACTATACATAGACTAGACTATAGACTAGACTATAGACTAGACTATAGACTAGACTATAGACTAGACTATAGACTAGACTAGACTAGATATAGACTAGACTATAGACTAGACTATAGACTAGACTATAGACTAGACTATAGACTAGACTATAGACTAGACTATAGACTAGACTATAGACTAGACTATAGACTAGACTATAGACTAGACTATAGACTAGACTATAGACTAGACTATAGACTAGACTATAGACTAGACTACAGACTAGACTATAGACTAGACTATAGACTAGACTATAGACTAGACTATAGACTACTAGACTATAGACTAGACTAGACTAGACTATAGACTAGACTATAGACTATATAGAGAGACTACTATAGACTAGACTATAGACTAGACTATAGACTAGACTATAGACTAGTCTATAGACTAGACTATAGACTAGACTATAGACTATAGACTAGACTATAGACTAGACTATAGACTAGACTATAGACTAGACTATAGACTAGACTATAGACTAGACTATAGACTAGACTATAGACTAGACTATAGACTAGACTATAGACTAGACTATAGACTAGACTAAAGACTAGACTATAGACTAGACTATAGACTAGACTATAGACTAGACTATAGACTAGACTATAGACTAGACTATAGACTAGACTATAGACTAGACTATAGACTAGACTATAGACTAGACTATAGACTAGACTATAGACTAGACTATAGACTAGATATAGACTAGACTATAGACTAGACTATAGACTAGACTATAGACTAGACTATAGACTAGACTATAGACTAGACTATAGACTAGACTATAGACTAGACTATAGTCTAGTCTATAGTCTAGTCTATAATCTAGTCTATAGTCTAGTCTATAGTCTAGACTATAGACTAGACTATAGACTAGACTATAGACTAGACTATAGACTAGACTATAGACTAGACTATAGACTAGACTATAGACTCGACTATAGACTAGACTATAGACTAGACTATAGACTAGACTATAGACTAGACTATAGACTAGACTATAGACAAGACTATAGTCTAGACTATAGACTAGACTATAGACTAGACTATAGACTAGACTATAGACTAGACTATAGACTAGACTATAGACTAGACTATAGACTAGACTTTAGACTAGACTATAGACTAGAGTATAGACTAGACTTTAGACTAGACTATAATATAGACTAGACTATAGAATAGACTTTAAATTATCTTCGATAAATTTGTTTAAAGGTTATTATTAGTCACAATTTTATGTATAAAAAATTATTAAAATTTTCATATTTCATTTAATAAAGTTTAATATTATATTCAATTTATTTTCTAGCATACGGCAGTGGAAAATCGAATGATATCAGCTATGACTCAGATGATGAAATGAACTCCTATGACTATATCGAATTAACTCAAGATAATTCGCAACATGGTTTTACAACAACAGCGACAACACACAATGCTCTAGTGAGCAGTGGTGGTGGAGGCGGTATTGGTGGTGGTGGTGGCGGCGCTAGTAGTGTTATCATTAAAACAGCTGATCTCGATGATGAAGAGGATTTCGTAGAACACAGTGATATTGATTGAGGTGTAGGTAGAGTTACATTAAGTAACAATACAAATACAAATGGAAAAAACAAACAAAACTATAAAATTAAAAGATCTTTAAAAACAAATAATAAAAACCAACAGTTAAAAACAACAACATCATCATCATCATTGGCAATTATGCAAAAAACAACAACAACTGCTAACACAACATTGTTGTCCTCATCAGCATCATCGGCAACAATTCCACCATCACCACCACCATCCACAGCTACAAATGAAATTCTAGAAGAAACTAAATTATCAGGGGAAAGAAAGAAACTTTTTATGTCTGCCCAGGATGGTAATTTATCAGATACTGATACTTTTAGTTTCTCTTTTATTTCAGCCTTATTAGGTCTGCATAAAAAATAAGTAATTTTCTTTTTTTTAGTTGTTTATATAATAGATTATTAATTAATTAATATTATTTTATTACAAAGAAAAGGAAAGAAAAAATATGCTATTTTTTACTAAAGAAAAAAAAAACAAAAACAATTTAATATATAGAAACAAAAAAAAAAATATATTATATATAATATAAAGATTTTTTTAAATGTCATTTGTTGTAAGTTTAAATTAATTTAAATAATTATTTTTTCTCTTCTTTGGTTCTTTTATGTAATAACTCTCTTCTCATTTTAACACTCTTAACCGAGAGCAAGTTTAAAAGCTCTGGTTATAACTTAAGAGCAACAAAATTTAGGGGCTTTTTAATGTTTTTATTTACTGTTTGTAGACATCCGTTTCTCTTTAAAATTTCTTTTTAAATTCTCTAAATTAAAACAGTAAATTCTATATATTTATAATAATTCGTTACAATTTTAATTTAATTAAAAATATTTTTTGTTTTTTTTTCTCTCTCTCTCTTTTTTTAGTTTTTATTTAGTTTAAGTTTGTCATTGTTTTATAATGATAAATCTTTTTTTTTTCGTTTAGAGAAAACTTTTCTAATTCTATAATACAAAAACAATGAAGTTTTAATGTAAATTTAATGCTTGAAGGGTAAACAATTGTCCAGATTATAGAGTAGCCTAAAGTCCAGACTATAGAGTAGTCTTTAGCCCAGACTATAGAGTAGTCTATAGTCCAGACTATAGAGTAGTCTATAGTCCAGACTATAGAGTAGTCTATAGTCCCGACTATAGAGTAGTCTATAGTCCCGACTATAGAGTAGTCTATAGTCCAGACTATAGAGTAGTCTATAGTCCAGACTATAGAGTAGTCTATAGTCCAGACTATAGAGTAGTCTATAGTCCAGACTATAGAGTAGTCTATAGTCCAGACTATAGAGTAGTCTATAGTCCAGACTATAGAGTAGTCTATAGTCCAGACTATAGAGTAGTCTATAGTCCCGACTATAGAGTAGTCTATAGTCCCGACTATAGAGTAGTCTATAGTCCAGACTATAGAGTAGTCAATAGTCCAGACTATAGAGTAGTCTATAGTCCAGACTATAGAGTAGTCTATAGTCCAGACTATAGAGTAGTCTATAGTCCCGACTATAGAGTAGTCTATAGTCCCGACTATAGAGTAGTCTATAGTCCCGACTATAGAGTAGTCTATAGTCTTGACTATAGAGTAGTCTATAGTCCTGACTATAGAGTAGTCTATAGTCCCGACTATAGAGTAGTCTATAGTCCCGACTATAGAGTAGTCTATAGTCCCGACTATAGAGTAGTCTATAGTCCCGACTATAGAGTAGTCTATAGTCCCGACTATAGACTAGTCTATAGTCCAGACTATAGAGTAGTCTATTGTCCAGACTATAGAGTAGTCTATTGTTCAGACTATAGAGTAGTCTATTGTCCAGACTATAGAGTAGTCTATTGTCCAGACTATAGAGTAGTCTATTGTCCAGACTATAGAGTAGTCTATAGTGCAGACTATAGAGTAGTCTATAGTCCAGACTATAGAGTAGTCTATAGTCCCGACTATAGAGTAGTCTATAGTCCAGACTATAGAGTAGTCTATAGTCCCGACTATAGAGTAGTCTATAGTCCAGACTATAGAGTAGTCTATAGTCCAGACTATAGAGTAGTCTATAGTCCCGACTATAGAGTAGTCTATAGTCCAGACTATAGAGTAGTCTATAGTGCAGACTATAGAGTAGTCTATAGTCCAGACTATAGAGTAGTCTATAGTCCAGACTATAGAGTAGTCTATAGTCCAGACTATAGAGTAGTCTATAGTCCAGACTATAGAGTAGTCTATAGTACAGACTATAGAGTAGTCTATAGTCCAGACTATAGAGTAGTCTATAGTCCAGACTATAGAGTAGTCTATAGTCCAGACTATAGAGTAGTCTATAGTCCAGACTATAGAGTAGTCTATAGTCCAGACTATAGAGTAGTCTATAGTCAAGACTATAGAGTAGTCTATAGTCCAGACTATAGAGTAGTCTATAGTCCAGACTATAGAGTAGTCTATAGTCCAGACTATAGAGTAGTCTATAGTCCAGACTATAGAGTAGTCTATAGTCCAGACTATAGAGTAGTCTATAGTCCAGACTATAGAGTAGTCTATAGTCCAGACTATAGAGTAGTCTATAGTCCAGACTATAGATTAGTCTATAGTCCAGACTATAGATTAGTCTATAGTCCAGACTATAGATTAGTCTATAGTCCAGACTATAGATTAGTCTATAGTCCAGACTATAGAGTAGTCTATAGTCCAGGTCGAAAATTATACAAATTCTGCGGCGAAGTTATAACAGGTCCCATACATTTCGCTTATAACAACGATTTTGAAGTCTATCTTTCAAACCGTTAAGTTAAATTTAAAGTTAAAACATAAAAGTTACAAATATATTATTTTAAAACATATAAAATATGTTTTTGTTAATAATTTTTCTTTATTTAATAAAAATTAAACAAAATCACTCTTAACAAAAAATATATCCCCTTTTTAAATAAAATTAAAAAACTTTATAATAAAAAAAAAAAACACAAAAATATAAAAAAACAAAAACTATTAAATCTAAAATATAAATATTTTTTAAGTAACTTAAAAAAAACAGCAACAAGATTTATCAACTTAAATTTAAATAATTACAAACAAAACATATTTTTTTCTAATTGTAAGCAAATAAACAACAAAAACAAAATACTAAATTTAATAATTTAAGTTTAGTAAAGAGAAAGTAAATTAAAAAAAAGAAAAAAAAAAAAATACAAATAATTATTAAAATTAAACAAAAACAAAATATAGTTGTAAAACATTTAAAACAAAAAACTAAATGGGAAAATCAAACAAAACAATTTAAGAATTAAATACAAGGTATTGAGAGATAAATTAAAAAACAAAATTTAAAAAAAAAAACAAATAAAAATTATATATAAAAAAGCAAATTAAAAAAGACAAACTCGCTAAAGTTTCAATAAAAACAGGAGTGCAATAAAAAGTAATTAATACTTTCGAATGGACTATAGTCAAAACTATAGCTTGACTATAGTCCAAACGATGGAGAAGAGTATAGTAGAGACTTTTGACTATAGACTCGACTATAATCCAGACTATAGCCTAGAATATATTCCAGACTATAGTCTAGACTATAGTACAGACTATAGACTATAATATAGACTAGACTACAGTCCAGACTACAGACTAGACTATAGTCCAGACAAAAAAAAAAAAAAAACTATAGTCCAGACTATAGACTAGACTATAGTCCAGACTATAAACTAGACTATAGTCCAGACTATAGACTAGACTATAGTCCAGACTGTAGACTATTGTCCAGACTATAGACTATTGTCCAGATTGTAGACTATTGTCCAGATTGTAGACTATAGTCCAGACCGTAGACTATAGTCCAGACTATAGACTATAGTCCAGACAATAGACTATAGTCCAGACAATAGACTATAGTCCAGACTATAGACTATAGTCCAGACAATAGACTATAGTCCAGACAATAGACTATAGTCCAGACAATAGACTATAGTCCAGACTATAGACTATAGTCCAGACCATAGACTATAGTCCAGAGTATAGACTATAGTCCAGACCATAGACTAGACTATAGACCCGACTATAGACTATAATCCTGACTATAGTCCAGACTATAGACTATAGTCCAGACTATAGACTGTAGTCCAGACTATAGACTATAGTCCAGACTATAGACTATAGTCCAGACTATAGACTATAGTCCAGACTATAGACTATAGTCCAGACTATAGACTATAGTCCAGACTATAGACTATAGTCCAGACTATAGACTATAGTCCAGACTATAGACTATAGTCCAGACTATAGACTATAGTCCAGACTATAGACTATAGTCCAGACTATAGACTATAGTCCAGACTATAGACTAAAGTCCAGACTATAGACTATAGTCCAGACTATAGACTATAGTCCAGACTATAGACTATAGTCCAGACTATAGACTATAGTCCAGACTATAGACTATAGTCCAGACTATAGACTATAGTCCAGACTATAGACTATAGTCCAGACTATAGACTATAGTCCAGACTATAGACTATAGTCCAGACTATAGACTATAGTCCAGACTATAGACTATAGTCCAACTATAGACTATAGTCCAGACTATAGACTATAGTCCAGACTATAGACTATAGTCCAGACTATAGACTATAGTCCAGACTATAGACTATAGTCCAGACTATAGACTATAGTCCAGACTATAGACTATAGTCCAGACTATAGACTATAGTCCAGACTATAGACTATAGTCCAGACTATAGACTATAGTCCAGACTATAGACTATAGTCCAGATTATAGACTATAGTCCAGACTATAGACTATAGTCCAGACTATAGACTATAGTCCAGACTATAGACTATAGTCCAGACTATAGACTATAGTCCAGACTATAGACTATAGTCCAAACTATAGACTATAGTCCAGACTATAGACTATAGTCCAGACTATAGACTATAGTCCAGACTAAAGACTATAGTCCAGACTATAGACTATAGTCCAGACTAAAGACTATAGTCCAGACTATAGACTATAGTCCAGACTATAGACTAGACTATAGTCCAGACTATAGACTAGACTATAGTCCAGACTATAGACTAGACTATAGTCCAGACTATAGACTAGACTATAGTCCAGACTATAGACTAGACTATAGTCCAGACTATAGACTAGACTATAGTCCAGACTATAGACTAGACTATAGACTAGACTATAGACTAGACTATAGACTAGACTATAGACTAGACTATAGACTAGTCTGGACTATAGTCTATAGTCTGGACTATAGTCTATAGTCTGGACTATAGTCTATAGTCTGGACTATAGTCTATAGTCTGGACTATAGTCTATAGTCTGGACTATAGTCTATAGTCTGGACTATAGTCTATAGTCTGGACTATAGTCTATAGTCTGGACTATAGTCTATAGTCTGGACTATAGTCTATAGTCTGGACTATAGTCTATAGTCTGGACTATAGTCTATAGTCTGGACTATAGTCTATAGTCTGGACTATAGTCTATAGTCTGGACTAGTCTATAGTCTGGACTATTAGTCTATAGTCTGGACTATAGTCTATAGTCTGGACTACAGTCTATAGTCTGGACTATAGTCTATAGTCTGGACTATAGTCTATAGTCTGGACTATAGTCTATAGTCTGGACTATAGTCTATAGTCTGGACTATAGTCTATAGTCTGGACTATAGTCTATAGTCTGGACTATAGTCTATAGTCTGGACTATAGTCTATAGTCTGGACTATAGTCTATAGTCTGGACTATAGTCTATAGTCTGGACTACAGTCTATAGTCTGGACTATAGTCTATAGTCTGGACTATAGTCAGGATTATAGTCTATAGTCGGGTCTATAGTCTAGTCTATGGTCTGGACTATAGTCTATGGTCTGGACTATAGTCTATAGTCTGGACTATAGTCTATTGTCTGGACTATAGTCTATTGTCTGGACTATAGTCTATTGTCTGGACTATAGTCTGGACTATAGTCTATTGTCTGGACTATAGTCTATAGTCTGGACTATAGTCTATTGTCTGGACTATATTCTATTGTCTGGACTATAGTCTGGACTATATTCTATTGTCTGGACTATAGTCTACAATCTGGACAATAGTCTACAATCTGGACAATAGTCTATAGTCTGGACAATAGTCTACAATCTGGACAATAGTCTATAGTCTGGACTATAGTCAGGATTATAGTCTATATTCGGGTCTATAGTCTAGTCTATAGTCTATAGTCTGGACTATAGTCTATAGTCTGGACTATATTCTATTCTCTGGACTATAGTCTATAGTCTGGACTATATTCTATTGTCTGGGCTATAGTGTGGACTATAGTCTGGACTATAGGCTATAGTGTGGACTATAGTCTATATTCTGTACTATAGTCTATAGTCTGGACTATATTCTATTTTCTGGACTATAGTCTATAATCTGAACTATAGGCTATAGTGTGGTCTAGTCTATAGTTTGGAATGTAGTCTAGTTTATAGTCTAGCCTATATGGTCTGTACAGTAGTCTATAGTTCTTTTCCTTTATTCATCCCCAATTTATTACTTTCTGCAAAAAAGAACTCCACAAAATTTAATTTTTATTTTAAAAGTTTTTAGAAGAAAATTTAATCACGTTTTATTCATCACTTTTTTATTTATGTTCTTTGATTTTTTTTAATATATAATTTTCGACTTAAAAATTATTTTAGAAAAATTTGGATTATAATTTTAAAGCTAATTTCTATAAAAAAAACATAAAAACTAAATATTTATATATAATTCAATACTACTGATTTTTATTAAAATTGTACACAATAATAACCTTAATAATATAGTTTCTTACAAAAAAGCCCCAGAATGAACGTAAAAGCTTTAAGGCGAAAAAAAAGTTGAAAAAACTTAAAAACTAAATTATTATTTTGTAAATATTTAAAAGAAAAACCTGAATGAAAACCATTTTAAACAAGGCCTGGTGTGACTGTGTACAGTAAAAGGACACCTTTGTACCTATTAGCTATTCAACATTTAAATCCCATTTTGAAGGACTACATTTGCAGTATTAGGTGGTCCCACCGGCTGTGGTGCTATATCAAAATCAGGAATGTTGGATGCTGTAGCAGCTGGAGGCGCGGCAAATGCTGAAGTGGATAAATTCATTAAACTAGGCTGAGGAGCATCTACTTGTGAGATGGGTACATGAATGGGCGTATTGTTGGCATGATGTATATCCATAGCTGGTTTCGATAATTGCTCCTGTCTCATCTGCTGTGGTGATTTTACATAATTTATGGGAATTATGCCAGTCATTTGTCCATCAGTAGTGGCCATGGCCCAACCGGTGTTAAGTAAAGCCAGTGTGTTTTGAATTTCTTTTGGAGCTATGACAACACGTTGACCGGCACGTATGCTGAGCTCCGACGGATTTCTAGCTTGGAAATCATAAAGAGCCGCGGATTCTATGGGTTGCACCCATTTGCTGGGATTGCGAGCTGGAAGAAGGAAAAATATAAAAATAAAAATTAAATTAACTATAGACTAGACTATAGATTATACTATAGATTAGACTATAGACTAGACTAGACTATAGACTAGACTATAGACTAGACTATAGACTAGACTATAGACTAGACTAGACTATAGACTAGACTATAGACTAGACTATAGACTAGACTATAGACTAGACTAGACTATAGACTAGACTAGACTATAGACTAGACTAGACTATAGACTAGACTAGACTATAGACTAGACTAGACTAGACTAGACTAGACTATAGACTAGACTAGACTATAGACTAGACTAGACTATAGACTAGACTATTGACTAGACTATAGACTAGACTATAGACTACACTATAGACTACACTATAGACTAGACTATAGACTAGACTATAGACTAGACTATAGACTAGACTATAGACTAGACTAGACTATAGACTAGACTACAGACTAGACTATAGACTAGACTATAGACTAGACTATAGACTAGACTATAGACTAGACTATAGACTAGAATATAGACTAGACTATAGACTAGACTATAGACTAGACTATAGACTAGACTATAGACTAGACTATAGACTAGACTATAGACTAGACTATAGACTAGACTATAGACTAGACTATAGACTAGACTATAGACTAGACTATAGACTAGACTATAGACTAGACTATAGACTAGACTATAGACTAGACTATAGACTAGACTATAGACTAGACTAGACTATAGACTAGACTATTGACTAGACTATAGACTAGACTATAGACTACACTATAGACTACACTATAGACTAGACTATAGACTAGACTATAGACTAGACTATAGACTAGACTATAGACTAGACTATAGACTAGACTATAGACTAGACTATAGACTAGACTATTGACTAGACTATAGACTAGACTATAGACTACACTATAGACTACACTATAGACTAGACTATAGACTAGACTATAGACTAGACTATAGACTAGACTATAGACTAGACTATAGACTAGACTAGACTATAGACTAGACTAGACTATAGACTAGACTATAGACTAGACTACAGACTAGACTAGACTATAGACTAGACTACAGACTAGACTATAGACTAGACTATAGACTAGACTATAGACTAGACTATAGACTAGACTATAGACTAGACTATAGACTAGACTATAGACTAGACTATAGACTAGACTATAGACTAGACTATAGACTAGACTATAGACTAGACTAGACTATAGACTAGACTATAGACTAGACTATAGACTAGACTATAGACTAGACTATAGACTAGACTATAGACTAGACTATAGACTAGACTATAGACTAGACTATAGACTAGACTATAGACTAGACTATAGACTAGACTATAGACTAGACTATAGACTAGACTATAGACTAGACTATAGACTAGACTATAGACTAGACTATAGACTAGACTATAGACTAGACTATAGACTAGACTATAGACTAGACTATAGACTAGACTATAGACTAGACTATAGACTAGACTATAGACTAGACTATAGACTCGACTATAGACTCGACTATAGAGTAGACTATAGAGTAGACTATAGACTAGACTATAGACTAGAATATAGACTAGACTATAGACTAGACTATAGACTGGACTATATATTAGGCTATAGACTGGACTATACACTAGACTATAGACTGAACTAGTCAATAGGTCTAGACTATAGAATAGACTATAGACTATATATCTATAGTCTAGTCTATAGTCTAGTCTATAGTCTAATCTATAGTCTAGGCCATAGTCTAGTCTATATCCTAGTCTATAGTCTAGTCTATAGTCTAGTCTACAGTCTAATCTATAGTATAGTCTATAGTCTAGTCTATAGTCTAGTCTATAGTCTAGTCTATAGTCTAGTCTATAGTCTAGTCTATAGTCTAGTCTATAGTCTAGTCTATAGTCTAGTCTATAGTCTAGTCCATAGTCTAGTCCATAGTCTAGTCCATAGTCTAGTCTATAGTCTAGTCTATAGTCTAGTCTATAGTCTAGTCTATAGTCTAGTCTATAGTCTAGTCTATAGTCTAGTCTATAGTCTAGTCTATAGTCTAGTCTATAGTCTAGTCTATAGTCTAGTCTATAGTCTAGTCTATAGTCTAGTCTATAGTCTAGTCTATAGTCTAGTCTATAGGCTAGTCTATAGTCTAGTCTATAGGTTAGCCTATATGCTAGTCTATAGTCTAGTCTATAGTCTAGTCTATAGTCTAGTCTATAGTCTAGTCTATAGTCTAGTCTATAGTCTAGTCTATAGTCTAGTCTATACACTAGACTATAGACTGAACTAGTCTATAGGTCTAGACTATAGAATAGACTATAGACTAGACTATAGACTAGACTATAGACTAGACTATAGACTATACTATAGACTAGACTGTAGACTAGACTATAGACTAGACTATAGAATAGACTATAGAATAGACTATAGACTAGTCTAGTCTAGACTATAGACTAGACTATAGACTGGACTATACACTAGACTATAGACTGAACTAGTCTATAGGTCTAGACTATAGACTATACTATAGACTAGACTGTATATATAGTCTATAGTCTATTCTATAGTATATTCTATAGTCTAGTCTATAGTCTAGTCTACAGTCTAGTCTATAGTATAGTCTATAGTCTAGTCTATAGTCTAGTCTACAGTCTAGTCTATAGTATAGTCTATAGTCTAGTCTATAGTCTAGTCTATAGTCTAGTCTATAGTCTAGTTTATAGTCTAGTCTAAGTATAGTCTAGTCTATAGTGCAGTCAGTTTATAGTCTAGTCTATAGGCTAGTCTATAGTCTAGTCTATAGTCTAGTCTATAGGCTACTCTATAGGCTAGTCTATAGTCTAGTCTATAGTCTAGTCTATAGTCTAGTCTATAGTCTAGTCTATAGTCTAGTCTATAGTCTAGTCTATAGTCTAAACTCAAGACTATAGTCTAGTTTATAATCTGGTCTACAGTCTAGTTTGTAGTCTATGGGCTATTCTATAGCCTAGTCTATAGTCTAGTCTGTTGTCAATTCTACAGTATAGTCTATAGTTTAGTCTATATTCTAGTTTATAGTCTAGTCTATTGTCTATTCTACAGTCTAGCCTATAGTCTAGTTTATGGTCTAGTCTACAGTATAGTCTATAGTCTAGTCTATAGTCTAGTCTATAGTATAGTCTATAGTCTAGTCTATAGTCTAGTCTATAGTCTAATCTATAGTCTAGTCTATAGTCAAGTCTATAGTCTAGTATATAGTCTGATCTAGTCTATAGCCTAGTCTATAGTCTATTCTATAATCTATTCTGTAGTCTAGTTTATAGTCTATTCTGCAGTCTAGTCTATAGTCTAGTTTATAGTCTAGTTTATAGTCTAGTCTATAGCCTAATCTATAGTCTAGTCTATAGTGTAGTCTATAGTGGACTATAGACTAGTCCAGTCTACAGTCTAATTTACAGTCTAGTCTATTGTATATTCTATAGTCTAGTCTATAGTCTAGCATATATATAGTCTAGTCTATAGTCTAATCTAGTTTATAGTGTAGTTTATGGTGTAGTCTATTGTCTTCTCTATAGTCTAGTCTAGTCTATATATATATATATATATATATATATACATATATAGTCTAGTCTTGCTAGTTTATAGTTTAGTCTAGACTATACTAAAGATTAGACTATAGACCAGTCTATAGACTAAACTATATTCTAATCTAAACTATGGACAAGACTAAAACATGTTCCGATTTTTTTTTTTAATTTTTAATTGATTATAACTTTGGATCTCTCTATTCTCTCTATGTAACTGTATAAAATTCACAGAAATTTCAACATTTTTATGAAGATATCGAACTAAGGTAAGTTTTCACCGTAGGAGGTTACTCTTGTTATTTGCCCCTAACTGAAGTAATAAACGATAGTTTTAGTTGAAGATAACTAAAAATTTTGAAGACATTTTAACTTGTAAATAAATGTTAAAAAAAGTTTCAATACAATTTGAAACCTCTGTAAAGCACTTAATTAAATATGTGATCAAAATAAAAAGGCAGGTTAGGAGACAAAAAATAAAAATATGGCAACGCTATTGAAAATAAACCATATATTGTATATTAAGTAGAGATAATCACCGTCATTCTTGTGTCAATAGTTAATACGACTTAAAATATGAATTCTACAATGATTTTAAAATGACAAAAAGCAGTTCGGACCACTCTTTATACAGTAGACTAGACTATAGGCTAGACTGTAGACCAGAATATAGGCAAGACCATGGAAGAGACTATAGGCTAGACAATAGTCTAGACTAGACTATAGACCACACTATGCTATATATTAGGCTAAAGACTAGACTATAAAGTGGTCTATAGGCTAGATTATAATTTGATTTTATTTATATTTGAATTTTAATTTTGAATTTAAAAATTTAGTTTTTGAAAAATATTTGACGAAAAATTCTTACTAAAATAGTAATTAATACATGGTTTAGCAATTAACTCAAAATATGCAAACAAGTTTTATCTAATCTATTATCAGCATTTGTGTTAACAGATAAAAATAAACAATAATCTTTTTGTCACTTTGAAACCAACAAAAAAGCCTATTATTATTTTATTAGAATAAAAACATACCTTCTTCCTGTGCAGTATTGGTAACAGTACCCAATAGTTTCATAATCAAATAAGGAGCCGTAAATATGAAACTAAGGAAAGCTAAAACTGGCCAAGGAGATTGACCTTTGCGTGGCAGCTTGGGAGCACCCTGTTGTTGGCTTGAAGACTCATTCAAGGCTTCAGCAAAAGCTTTCTTAAACGACTCCGAGGAGGGGTCCAAGTTAGAGATGCGCAGCCAATAGAGAATTCTTTAAAATAAAATATTTAATAATTATTTAAATCTATAAATATTTGTGTTGAAACTTACTTTCTGTAGATCCATGTTAGACCTCGGAATATGGCAAAAGTAGACCAAAATTGTGCAAACACACCTCTCAAACGTCCAAAATTGGCAGCTACTCCCAGAATAGCTCTAAATGAGCTGGTTAAGGCAAAGAAAGTAGAATCCAACATAGAAGCGATGTTGCCAATAGCTGATACTAAAGATTCTATGCTCTGAAAGGCAGGCCTTGAACTAGCTTCTGCTAATTGTATAAAACGGGCCTCCGGATCCATAGGATTCATGCCACCACCAGACATGCCAAAACGGTTATAAGCTCCATAGCCACCACCATAGCCGCCATAACTTCCTAGTCCACCAAAACCTCCATAACCAGCACCATAACTGGAACCAAAGCCACCATAGCCTCCGCCATAACTACCAAAGCCCCCACCGTAGCCACCATAACCTCCAGCATAAGCACCACCACCCATACCGGCAGATGAATATTGTGAAGTGGGAGCCATGGGCAAAGGAGGTGCTGCCAAAGACCGTACATTACCAGCGGGAGTTCTCAAAATGGCATCTGAACCCAAACTAGACATGCCCATATCACCACCACCCGCACCCATAGTGGGGGGCATTAAAATAGGTTCAGCCACCACGGGACTGCGAAAATTGCTGGCTGTGGCATTCTCCGACATATCGATTTTGTTTATTCACTTTCAACTATTATTATTATCTTGAACTAAATTGTAAATTGTCTGAACTTTGTTCGGCAATCAGTCAACACAACACAGTCTTGGAAGTGAGAAGAAGGGGGTAATATTTGTATGCCTACCACACACTAAAACTGCAGGTGAGATAAAGAAGTAATCGATATTATTGTTTTTTAACAAAATTTCTAAAGTTTAATAGATATTTCCTAAAATTTTTATTTTATATATAAAATAACACTTCATATTACCAGTCTCTGGTTTACTTTATGAGATTTAGGTAAATTTTATTAGTTAATTTATTAAAATTCTAACAAAATTACAATTTTACGATATAATTTCACACACAAATTAATTAAAACTACTAAAATTGGCTGCCAGCTGTTTTTTTCTATAAGTAGAGATGCCAGATTATAAAGGGTATTGCCATGTAGCGTTTTGTACGAAGTACTGTGGATTGGATGACGTATTTGTATGGTAGCACCGAAATCGATAACAACAAATTTTAAAATGTAAAAAAAAAATTTGAATAGTTTCTAAAAAACTTGATAAAACACATTTAACAAAAAACTTAAAGGTTGTTGCTGTATCAGGCAAAATCGAAAATCGATTCAAATTTGTTTTGAAGTCATGAATTTTTTTTGATTTTGAATTGATTCAAAAATAAACAAAACAAAGTTGAATGCGAAACAATTAATAAAATTAATTATGAGTTAATCATTTAAATTGTTGGAAAAACCTAAAAAGTTAGATTTATCGACTTTTAAGACTTTTTTCCTTTGTTAGGACAAAAAACTAGACTTCGACTTTTTCCGACAAAAGTCGATTCTTCGATTATTTTTAAGATAATTTATTGAAACCTTCCAGAACCATTAAGTCTAAAAATTGTAAGATCTGTTAAAAATACATTAAACTAACAAGAGTACAAAACTCAAATTTCCTATGGGGTTTTTATAATAAAGCTGCCACTTTATTTCAAACAAACGCCCAAAATACGGCAACACTCCGGCTTGACATCTGTTTATTTTCTTTTATTTGTTGACAAACTAGTTTTTTTTCGCAAAACACAAATTTCTCCTCCACCAGAAAAAAATTACATTTTATTTGCTAATAAACAAAAAAAAAAAAAAGGAATATTTTACATAAAACAAAGGAATATGAATTCCAAAGAGCTGTATTCTATAAGAGAATGGGCTCCTTTAACAGATGTACTTGATCGCATACCAACACGTATAAATCGTGGCCTATTTCCGGCGGATCTCAATATAACATGTATCGATGCAGTGGAGGAGTTTTTTGCCCTGGGTACTGATGCCGGTATAGTATTCTGGTATAATCGTCAGAATGGTGATATACAAAAATTGAAGGCGGAGGTAGGATTTTTAAAAGAAAATATGGATCCTTAGAGGGAAAAAATTTAAAAAAACCCCACTCCATAATATGACTCACACGCTGGGCTGTGATTGAAGGGGGTTTTTCATTTGTTTATAGGTTTTATTATAGCTTTTTAATGTCTTTTTGTTTTATTAGACCACAACACGCATAACATGTGTAAAAATAGTAGATTCAGTGGAGTATATGGTGGCAGCTGGCAATTCTTGTGGTCAGGTTAATGTCTTTCAAATCCAAAAAGAATTGCCGCCTGATTTAAATTTGGTTGCTCCTTGCACTAAAAGTAAGCCCATAGAACGTTATACAATAAGGGATTTGCATCATAGTGCTATAAGTTGCTGTGAGTGGTCTAAAAATGCCATGAAATTGTATTCGGGTGATCGTAATGGTGTGGTGGTGCTGACAGAGTTTGATTATCAGGCGGTAAGTAAACTTAAGATTGAAGTTTATGCTTTAAGGAGTGGCTCTTTACTAACGAAATATCTTTCTCACACTAGCACCAAAATATTTCAGTATTCATTGATGTAATTTACAATTTTATTCTTTAGCACATTAGCAAATCAATTGAAATCTTAAACGAGGCCTATGAAATCGTTCAATTAAGCGCCCACCAGGGCTATTTACTAGTGTCAACTCTTTACCGTTCCATAGTTTGTCATCGCAATGCAAAATCGAATAAAAATGATAATTGGATTGTTACACAAATTGGCAAAAAGGATCGCAAACAATTGGTCGATTGTGGTGGTACATTTTTCAAACAATCCTCGTCAGCAGTTAATGGCAAACGTCCTCGCTTAATATGCGGACGTCCTAACTTACGTTTCTGGCTAGCCGATACTGAGGGTAATGTGGAAAAGACTTTATTGTTTCGTGAAGCTGTTACACAAAGTCCCACTTGGGAAATACCGATATTAAATCCAAAATTTTCTATGCATAATAAGTCAATGATGACTTCAAGCTCAATGCATACGGAAGAAGAATTACCGGCTATAGGTGATGTTAGGAATTTTCGTAATATCTATTCGTATGCAGGAGAAGATACTTTAATAGTGACCCACGATGAACGTGCTTTATATGTTTTAAATTTAGAACGTTTAAGGGTGGAGGCGGTGGCCAAAGGTTTTCGTAAAATTATAGATTTTTGTGTATGGAATAAAGAGATTTTTGTATTGGAGGGTGAACGTTCGCTACTGCGTTTGGCACCCATGCCCGAGAAACCAAATAAGACAGGTAAAACTGTAAACCAATAAATAAGAGTTTAAAAGCTAATTGTTAATTTCCTTTACAGCCAAAATTATATACAACCCTTCCTTGCCACCACCTGTACCCATACTGGGCTCCTCCATATGTGGTTCCTTTGAGGCTCCGGTCGAATATGAACCCGAGGAACAGCCCGTAACAAATGCCGAAGAATGCTTTGAATTGCCACCCATAGAAACTTTAAATCTCCAAATACCCATTGAATTAGCAGTAGAATCTTCTAAAGCTGAACAAAATAGACGTTTAGAGGTCTTTAAGGAAATCTCTGAAATGGACTTTGATGATGATATCTTACATCATAGTGGTATATTAAATCCACGCAAAAAACGTCATAAAAGTCGTAATAGCTCGAGAGATAACCAAAAACAAAAGGGAGGCATTGTGGAAATTGGTCATGCAGTGGTACAAGATGAAAAGGAGGAGGTGGGGGAGGCTGAAGATAATAATAAAAATAAAGTGGAATTTACTACCACCTCTACTAAAATGGAGGCAAGTTTCTGTAGCAAAGAGAAGGAGGAAAGGTGAGTTAATTATATTTTTGTCTCTAGCTACTGAATTAAAAACGAACCAGAACTGAACTAGAACTGAACTAGAACTGAACTAGAACTGAACTAGAACTAGAACTGAACTAGAACTGAACTAGAACTGAACTAGAACTGAACTAGAACTGAACTAGAACTGAACTAGAACTGAACTAGAACTGAACTAGAACTGAACTAGAACTGAACTAGAACTGAACTACTGACTAGAACTGAACTAGAACTGAACTAGAACTGAACTAGAACTGAACTAGAACTGAACTAGAACTGAACTAGAACTGAACTAGAACTGAACTAGAACTGACTAGAACTGAACTAGAACTGAACTAGAACTGAACTAGAACTGAACTAGAACTGAACTAGAACTGAACTAGAACTGACTAGAACTGAACTAGAACTGAACTAGAACTGAACTAGAACTGAACTAGAACTGAACTAGAACTGAACTAGAACTGAACTAGAACTGAACTAGAACTGAACTAGAACTGAACTAGAACTGAACTAGAACTGAACTAGAACTGAATTAGAACTGAATTAGAACTGAACTAGAACTGAACTAGAACTGAACTAGAACTGAACTAGAACTGAACTAGAACTGAACTAGAACTGAACTAGAACTGAACTAGAACTGAACTAGAACTGAACTAGAACTGAACTAGAACTGAACTAGAACTGAACTAGAACTGAACTAGAACTGAACTAGAACTGAACTAGAACTGAACTAGAACTGAACTAGAACTGAACTAGAACTGAACTAGAACTGAACTAGAACTGAACTAGAACTGAACTAGAACTGAACTAGAACTGAACTAGAACTGAACTAGAACTGAACTAGAACTGAACTAGAACTGAACTAGAACTGAACTAGAACTGAACTAGAACTGAACTAGAACTGAACTAGAACTGAACTAGAACTGAACTAGAACTGAACTAGAACTGAACTAGAACTGAACTAGAACTGAACTAGAACTGAACTAGAACTGAACTAGAACTGAACTAGAACTGAACTAGAACTGAACTAGAACTGAACTAGAACTGAACTAGAACTGAACTAGAACTGAACTAGAACTGAACTAGAACTGAACTAGAACTGAACTAGAACTGAACTAGAACTGAACTAGAACTGAACTAGAACTGAACTAGAACTGAATTAGAACTGAATTAGAACTGAACTAGAACTGAACTAGAACTGAACTAGAACTGAACTAGAACTGAACTAGAACTGAACTAGAACTGAACTAGAACTGAACTAGAACTGAACTAGAACTGAACTAGAACTGAACTAGAACTGAACTAGAACTGAACTAGAACTGAACTAGAACTGAACTAGAACTGAACTAGAACTGAACTAGAACTGAACTAGAACTGAACTAGAACTGAACTAGAACTGAACTAGAACTGAACTAGAACTGAACTAGAACTGAACTAGAACTGAACTGAACTAGAACTGAACTAGAAATGAACTAGAATTGAACTAGAACTGAACTAGAACTGAACTAGAACTGAACTTGAGCTGAACTAGAACTGAACTAGAAGTGAACTAGAACTGAACTAGAACTGAACTAGAACTGAACTAGAACTGAACTAGAACTGAACTAGAACTGAACTAGAACTGAACTAGAACTGAACTAGAACTGAACTAGAACTGAACAAGAACTGAACTAGAACTGAACTAGAACTGAACTAGAACTGAACTAGAACTGAACTAGAACTGATCTAGAGCTGAACTAGATTTGAAATAGAACTGATCTAGAACAGAATTACAACAGAACTAGAACTCAACATGAACTAAAACCGAATAAGAAATGAATTATTCGAATATCTACTAAAGAAATCTCTCCTTGCTGAATTAAACATTTCGATTTATTTCACCCTCATTTCAGCAATTCCTCTTCCACCATGGGTCTCAGTCTTAAGGAAGCATTTAGCCAACACTTACCAAATATTTTAAGTCCTACAACTCTTAAAAACACTATAGCCGAAAAAGCCAAAACATTAGCCGAAGAATTAGATCTGCCTGAAGTATCTTTACAGCCGATAACCGACGAAGAATTACGTCTATCTAAATATTTATCACAAGCTCCAGCACCCCAACCACCACAACAAATATCTCCTTTAGCCACAGTATATCCCACAGAAAATATCTTTAAAGACAGCAGCATACAGACAACGCCCAAGAAAAAACTTTACTATATAGAAGAACAAACTATAACTGA